GGGGGGGGGGGGGGAGGAGGCTATAGCAGTACCCACGGCGCCGGTGTCCCACTTGGTTAAAGTTTTATGGCAAGCTGTATTTCGGTGTTCAATCGAAATTTTAATTAATTTTACATTGTAATATGGTTACACCAATTGTTTGGAGGTTTTTTAGCAACAAATTGGACCATATATATATCCTCATTGTTGATACAAAACACAAGTTTTTTGGAATTAGTTTTACGGCAAGTTCTAGTTATTTTGAACCTACTAGGCAGATTTCAACCAAATTTGGCAGGAGGCATCCTTAGGGGAAGGGGATTCAAGATTGTACAAATGATGTCCCTGACCCCCCCAGGGGCAGATGGGCGCGGCCAAAAGGGGTGAATTTGACAGTATTGCCTTTAAATGACATCTCCTCCAAGACTATTTGGTAGATTTCAGCCAAATTTGACAGGGAGCATCTTTAGGGGAAGGGGATTCAAGATTGTACAAATGAAGTCCCTGACCCCCCAGGGGACAGATAGGCGTGGCCAAAAGGGGTAAATTTGACCGTATACCTTTAAATACATTGCGTCTAAAAGTACTAGGCAGATTTCAACCAAATATGGCAGGATACATCCTGAGGGGAAGGGGATTCAAGATGGTACAAACCCTGATCCCCCAGGGGACACTGGTGGGCGGGGCCCTAAGGGGAAAATTAAACAGTTTCCCTTTAAACAACATCTCCTCCAAGGTAGGAACTTGAAACTTGAAGTCATTGTAGATATATATGTAAGGAGAAGTGCACAACACTTTTGGATTTTAAATATGACCCCAGGGGCTGGGCCAGACGGATGGGGTCAAATATTTTCAAAACAAAACCAGTTTTATAGCATTGGAAATCAAAGATTATCTTCAGTTCTACNAAGGGGGGGGGGGGGAGGAGGCTATAGCAGTACCCACGGCGCCGGTGTCCCACTTGGTTAAAGTTTTATGGCAAGCTGTATTTCGGTGTTCAATCGAAATTTTAATTAATTTTACATTGTAATATGGTTACACCAATTGTTTGGAGGTTTTTTAGCAACAAATTGGACCATATATATATCCTCATTGTTGATACAAAACACAAGTTTTTTGGAATTAGTTTTACGGCAAGTTCTAGTTATTTTGAACCTACTANCTATTTAAATAATATTGGCGCCAATAATTTACCATAGTCATTTGAGTATTTGATGCAGGGGCATTCTCCATGTTATCCGAAGGGACAAGACTCTTTTTGAACAAGGTTAATTTATAACGTCATAATTAAACCACGTATATGTCAGAAGAGTTTCTGCTTTCATACTCAAAAGAAATGCAATTCTGCTGGTAATGTTCATATAGTGGGTTGCAGTGCAAATGTAAATAGATGATAATAATGGAATATTTTACATTTACAGTAAATATGCGTTTGCGATAAGAGGTTACCTACTCTCCACTGAAGGCTGTGATTGGGCCAAGTCAATGGTCTTTAAAATGATGGCCAATCACACAATGAGGAAGATGGGCGATAAGTGTCAAGTCCATGTGGAAGAGCACTGTCGTGATCAACGCTCGTGTGATCCCATGGCCATCACCAGATGTTACCGCCCTATCCAGCTACACGTGGCCGCTATCATAGACGACAAACTACCAGCCAATGTGCAAGTCTGCGAGTAAGTATAAGTTGGTACACAGTTGCATACCGTAATTCCTTCACAAATGTTAAAGTCTTACTCGATGTCTGACATAACTCACCTCGGGCCAACATCAAATTCTGTGGGTAATACATTAAAAAATAGGGTACACAAGTCTCAGTCAGGTTCTCTGTAATACCTGTCGACAAGATTAAAGATTCTGCAAGAAACTAAAGAAGGTGAGTAATGTGTTTCCTTTTTAGTCCCCAACCAATACGATGTACTATAGGAAGGAACTATAGGTTTGCTCTCAGCTCGTGAGTCAGTCAATCCATTACTGCATCATTCGTCCAATACAGATCTCAATTACTCTTTCATTTACAGTTTTCCAAATTTTAAATGTGGGTACATCTTGGGATGGCAGAGTGTTCCATTCATTAGTTGATGTGCATCTTGTGTCCAAATATAACTGAGTTATGGCCCTTTGTTCATTTGTTTGCCTCTATGTCTGGAGGAGCATAACTATACTTTAACACCCACAATTCGCAAGTTTATAGGAATGTCTTGGGGTGGTCCATTGTCGCATCTTAAAACTGTGCCCAAATAAATACACCAGAGTAACAATATGTGTTAAATTTTGATACGGAAGTTTGTCTTGAGTTGGAGAGGCAATGTATTGCTTCTAATACTCTGCCTTTTTGCTTGGAACTTGGAACAGGATTGTTTGTGGTATTTAATTTTCTGGTGGTTCTTATCATGCCATGTCATGTCACTTGACATTTGATGGTTCTTAACAAGCCATGTTAGCTTTCAGACTTTTTATCCTTTCTTTAAACTTCTCCTTTTTTGGAACTTGGAATTTGTTGTTTCCCACCATACAGTTATAAGGTTGAAGACTGTCTATTTTATCTTGTTTAAATTCACTACTTGATGTGTTTCAGACAACTTGCCGTGGCAGCTAAGTGTGTAGAGAGACTGCATTGTGACGAGCGCACAATGTACCGTGTCCACGAGACCATGGAGCCGGCCCTGTCCAAGCTAACCAAGATGTGTTACAAGATGCCAGTACAAACCTGTATTACCAGTTCCATGTGGAAGATGGCTGCCATCGTCTTGCTGAATAAGAAAACTTACGAGACTAGTTATGCATTGGGTTATATGAAGATGCACATGTACGACGATAGAATGAATATGAGCAGAAATAACACCACTTCCGCAAATACAACCAAACCTGATGATGTAATGAACGATGGAAAATGGTCCGAGGAGGGTATGGCTAAAGCTCTGATGACACTCCAACACATCCTCAGTAGAGACAATGGGTGTAGTAAAGATATGGAGGTTGATGGAGATCTGGCCACGGGGTTGAAATACCTCGTACGATATGCCTTCATGTACGAAAAAATGGTAGAGACTGACGAAAATTTCATGAACATGATGACACTAGCTATGGCCGGAGAACTAAGGAATGCTGTAGGTGATTCTGTTGGCGGGGACTTCGGCTCAAACAATCAAGAGTTGGGCGACCTGATCAAGATGGTTAGAGACCGATTTGACGACAGAGAAAACATGACGAGGAATAATATGACCATGCATGGTAACACGACGAGGAACAACGCGACCGTACCTGGGTACAATATGACGGCGCCGAGAAGTAATACCAGCATGGAAATGGACTGGAAGCTGAGAGATGTTATTGGCAGGATAATCACCCACCTGATTGTCTATGGCAACAGTGATACTTTCATGCAGGTCGAGACACACAAGGTCGTTAAAGCTAAAATGATGAAAGCTATAGAAATGGCCAAAATGCGGGGCAATGACCTTGAACTTGAAGAAAGAGATGAAGACGCCTTTGAACGACTGGATTTGAACTTAGGCAAAGATCTTGAAAATGCTGTTGACTGGGAGATGATGAATATTCTGAAGACGGTGTATGATGTTGCAATGCTAGAGAGTTCCAACCTTACCATGAACCACACGATGGAGCTGCTAGAGATGGCCCAGCACATCCATGCCTACAGGAAGCAAGAGCTGTGTATGTCCATGGTTGGGGCCTGGCAGTGTACCTCTAGTACCCTAATGCTGTTGCCGGAGTCTGTTCGTGGCATGGTCAACCAGACACTCAACTCCCTCTACAGTATTACTGGACACTTCTGTGAAGGTAGGTCATACTCTCTGTAAATTATACATACATACATTATGTAAAGATGAAATGCCGAAAGATTTCTTCTCTGTGAGAGGATAGACTGATATAAGTGTCGATTATTAGGCCAGCGACTGGACAGTACTGCTCCATAATGGACAGGTTCAGGTAAATAACTTGCTTCATTGTTCATTCTTCTATATAATGTATATATAATGTCAAAACAAAACGATGACTTCACAAGTGTGTTTTGAACAACACTCTACAATGGTACCAGGCACTTCTGGCAACACATGGCATATCTCTATCATTTCTACAACATAACTTGGAACATTTGTTGAGGTAGATAATCTCACCTGCAATTCTAGGCCATAAACAGACACATTTGGTATGGTAGATGAGCTCAGATTTATAAAACAAAGAAACCTATGTGACAGTTTACAATATTTTTACAGAGTTGAAATGCTATAGCTGTGACGATTTCCACGACAACGAGGCCTGTAACAAACAAGCCATGGTGACATGTAAACCCGGCCAGGTATGTAGCTGTCCCNTATGCCTTCATGTACGAAAAAATGGTAGAGACCGACGAAAATTTCATGAACATGATGACACTAGCTATGGCCGGAGAACTAAGGAATGCTGTAGGTGATTCTGTTGGCGGGGACTTCGGCTCAAACAATCAAGAGTTGGGCGACCTGATCAAGATGGTTAGAGACCGATTTGATGACAGAGAAAACATGACGAGGAATAATATGACCATGCCTAGTAACACGACGAGGAATAATATGACCATGCATGGTAACGCGACCGTACCTGGGTACAATATGACGGCGCCGAGAAGTAATACCAGCATGGAAATGGACTGGAAGCTGAGAGATGTTATTGGCAGGATAATCACCCACCTGATTGTCTATGGCAACAGTGATACTTTCATGCAGGTCGAGACACACAAGGTCGTTAAAGCTAAAATGATGAAAGCTATAGAAATGGCCAAAATGCGGGGCAATGACCTTGAACTTGAAGAAAGAGATGAAGACGCCTTTGAACGACTGGATTTGAACTTAGGCAAAGATCTTGAAAATGCTGTTGACTGGGAGATGATGAATATTCTGAAGACGGTATATGATGTTGCAATGCTAGAGAGTTCCAACCTTACCATGAACCACACGATGGAGCTGCTAGAGATGGCCCAGCACATCCATGCCTACAGGAAGCAAGAGCTGTGTATGTCCATGGTTGGGGCCTGGCAGTGTACCTCTAGTACCCTAATGCTGTTGCCGGAGTCTGTTCGTGGCATGGTCAACCAGACACTCAACTCCCTCTACAGTATTACTGGACACTTCTGTGAAGGTAGGTCATACTCTCTGTAAATTATACATACATACATTATGTAAAGATGAAATGCCGAAAGATTTCTTCTCTGTGAGAGGATAGACTGATATAAGTGTCGATTATTAGGCCAGCGACTGGACAGTACTGCTCCATAATGGACAGGTTCAGGTAAATAACTTGCTTCATTGTTCATTCTTCTATATAATGTATATATAATGTCAAAACAAAACGATGACTTCACAAGTGTGTTTTGAACAACACTCTACAATGGTACCAGGCACTTCTGGCAACACATGGCATATCTCTATCATTTCTACAACATAACTTGGAACATTTGTTGAGGTAGATAATCTCACCTGCAATTCTAGGCCATAAACAGACACACTTGGTATGGTAGATGAGCTCAGATTTATAAAACAAAGAAACCTATGTGACAGTTTACGATATTTTTACAGAGTTGAAATGCTATAGCTGTGACAATTTCCACGACAACGAGGCCTGTAACAAACAAGCCATGGTGACATGTAAACCCGGCCAGGTATGTAGCTGTCCTCAACATTTAATGCTTATGAATTGTATGGCCCTGTTTTAATTGAGGATCCTGTTATGATATATGAGGATAATGTTATAATAATTAATGGACTTGTTATGAAGTTGAGGTTCCTGCTTTAAAGATTGAGGGCTCTATTTTGATAACTGAGGGTCATGTTATGGTAATTATTTATCACAACAGGATCCTCAATTATTACCAAAACAGGATCCTCAGTTATCATGTTATAAACCTCAATATGCATACCCTCCATGTATTGGCTGTCATGATGAAGGGACCTGTTATAACAATTGATGGTGCTGTTAAAACAATAAGAGGTCATGTAATAGCAGTTGAGGGTCATGCAATAACATTTGAGGGTCTTGTTAAAATAATTGAGGGTCATGTTATGACTTTTGAGGGTCCTGTTATAACAATTGAGGGTCCTGTTATAGCAATCTATGATAATTTAGGGGTCATATTAAAATAATTGATGATCCTGTTTTGATCATCGAGGATCATTTTGTGATACCAGCAATTGAGAATCCAATATGATAATTGAAGGTTCTGTTATTGCTGAGGGTTCTGTTGGTATTGTAGGTATGCTTCACTCATGTCGACAACGGTGAGATGAAGAAGGGATGTGCTGCCCCAACTATGGGAGACTGGCAGAAAGATAAGGAGATGTACAGTACCTGTATGGGACACGGATGTAACCATCCTAAATTCGGAGCCAGGAAAGGTAGCAACTTTAATATTTTTCTGTCTTTTCTTTGACTCAAAAGAATGTTAGTTAAGATAATTTCATATTTTGAAAATGAAATTTTCGAAATTAATCATGACAACACACTCGTCAATAAATCTTGTGTAAAATGATTTTTTTCAGAAGCAGAGAATGAAATGTGCCAGCCGTTCAAAGCCATTGGATGTATGTATGAACTACTACCCACCATGCTACAGGGACAGGAAGTTGACTACAGGTAAAGCATCCTCACTAAAACTAGGTCACTGTTACCATGAAAAGTACAGCATGTATATAAAGGAACATTTATGGTCTACATTGACATTCACTAAATTGTTCCTTTAACTTGAGTTATCGGCCCATAACCGCATTTTCCACAAATGAAACAATTGTTTGACATCAACAGTACATGTTTGTGGAGTTGACTTTTGCTGTTAATTGTATTGAACCGATCACATGCTAATATGTTTTAAAAATCATATTTGTAATACTTATAGACTATTAACTCATTCACCCCTGAACTTTCATAAAGAACTATTCCAGCCTTTGAATTAGAAGAGTTCAAATGTGTCTTCAGGGGTGAATGAGTTTACAGATAATTTAAAATCTGCCAATTTAAAAGTAGAATATTTCCCCAGATAACTTAGAATGTCTTTGATGCTAACTGTTTGACCTATGTCTTTGATGCTAACTGTTTGACCTATATCTTTGATGCTAACTGTTTGACCTATGTCTTTGATGCTAACTGTTTGACCTATGTCTTTGATGCTAACTGTTACACCTATCTGTCCTCAGGGAGGCGTACAAGGCATTCCACTGTATGGAGTACTATACCTCTAGCTGTATCATGGAGGAGCACAGAGAGCTCAGTCGTATGGCTCAGCGGGTCAAGGTCGCAATGACTGATGGACAGTGCTCTCAGCCTGACTTCGTACACACTTGTGGCCTTTCGTCCATCCTTGAACTTGCCGACCTCGTAAAAACTCCAGCAGCTAGCAGGAAAACTATCTGCACGTAAGCAATTTTGTTTTACCTCACATAGAAATCCAGTAGTCTGAATGGTCCAAAGAAATTTTGCAATAAATGGAAATATCTTATCCTAAATGGAAACTTCCTGAAAAACTGTGAAGACGAGGATGTATGTCTGATTAACTTGATATGCAACCCATGTTAACATAGACATCACATTTACAACGTACAACTGGAACATATGTTATTTCTATTGACCTACAACCATTAGGGATTATTGGGACATATGTAGGTATAGGGGTTTATTTGAATGAATGACCAAAAGTCAAATGTTTTATTTCTGTCTTAATATATACCAAAAACTCTTTGTACTGTGTTAAGTTGATAAATGTGTTGCCAATATTTTCGAAACACAAAACACAATTCAAGATTATTAACTTGTCTCTTCCAGCACGCTGAACCAGACTGTGAGCAACGTTATGCTTGCCAATTACTGGAACCAGTGCACAGAATATGAGATGGTTATGACCTATAATGAATTAAATATGATAAGCTCAGTGATTGGCCCAGACTTCTGTCCGGGAATCGATCCCCGCAACCCACAGAAATGTGCAGAAGAACGCGCAAAACTCCCACCCATGTGCAATTTGGAGGAGGCCATTGGTAAATGTCTTTATGAAGCAGACGTATTGCACAAGATGGTAGAAATTCTCGGAGACCCTGAAGAATGGAGAGACATGGACTTCTTGTGCAGGTTTGTGTATTAGGCAGCCTAAGTTGGTAAAGATAAGATGTGCTATCCGAGACGAAGACTTGTTTGACT